CCTCTTATACTCAGAAACATATGGTAATCAAAGAGAGAAGCAACCTAGAACTAAGGAGAAATTTCCTGACAGTGAGAAGAATTAATCAGTGGAACAGAAGTTGCCTCCAGAAGTTGTGAATGCCCCAACACTGGAAGTCTTTAAGAAGATGTTGGATAGCCATTTGTCTGATATAGAGTTTCCTGCCTAGGCAGGGGGTTGGATTAGAAGACCTCCAAGGTCCCTTCCAACTCTGCTATTGTATTGTAACTCCTGTTGCTATGTGACACATCCACATGATGGTATGTTTTACTACATCACTTGGCATCTGTCACTTAGCACGGCAATTCTTGTCCCAATTGCTGTTGTAACATGCGGACCACCTGTAGTATTTTTGAAAGGGTGTTAAGCATTTATACAATACTTAACAATGTTAGGTCAAAGAGAAGCAGCATGCTCCCTCTAGTGGCCCAAAGAAGGAGTTTTTAAAATCTAAATCCTGACTCTTTTGAAACCAACTAATTCCTTCCTTCCTTCCTTCCTTCCTTCCTTCCTTCCTTCCTTCCTTCCTTCCTTCCTTTCAAAACAGACACAATTACATCTCCTACTCAGGCATCTTTAGATATCCTTCCTTCCTTCCTTCCTTCCTTCCTTCCCTCCCTCCTCTCCCTTCCTTCCTTCCTTCCTTCCTTTCTTCCTTCCTTCCTCCCTCCCTCCCTCCCCAATTACATCTCCTATTCAGGCATCTTTCGATGTGCTGGAGCTATGCTTAGGATCATTCATTGCAGATTAGATCCAGACATGGAAAGAGAGATATTCAAGCTAGCTTTTGAAAGGAGCATGAGACATTGTTACTGAAGCATGTTGATATTTGAGATGGCTATAGAATACGACAAAAGATGTCACTATGCCTCATTGATTATAGAAAGTCCCTTGATTTTGGGACTAATTGTTGCCGAAATCAGGGCTTTTCCTGTCTAATATTTTTTTTTAATATGTTGTATTGTCTTTATGTCGGAAATTGTTTGTCCTCCCCCCCCCTTTTTGAACTGTGAGCCGCCCTGAGTCCCCCCAGGGAAAAGAGCGGCATACAAATAAAGGGAAATCAAATTAATACAGGATTAGGATAAATAAATACCCAGGCAACGCTGGGTTATCAGCTAATTGTATTATACAAACCCAGCAAAGGTGACAACTTAGTACAATGTACTATGTCCCTTTATATTGATGATTAAACTATGCTTTGGTGTACAGTATAACAGAGTCTGTAATTGAGGCTGAGTTTGTACGACATACTTAACCAGAGGTGGTATTCAGTAGGTTCTGACNGCCACCTCGGCTCTTCAAATGCATATGAAAAGGTTATATGGTGTATTGATAGAAATGGATTCGGAAGCAGAATTGGTCGGAGACTGTATGATGGGGTGGGCGCAGAATTTTGATGAACCAATGGTGTTGGATGCATGGGAGAGGATATGGGTGGGAGGTGTGGAATTCACGCAGGCCCAAAATTTGAGAGAGAACTTTTATAGGATGTTTTGTAGAGGGCATTTGGATACTGGGGAACTGGCCTGCATGTATCCGAATTTGCAGCCTGGATGCTGGAGAGGTGATTGTGTTGATGCTGCGTATTGCCATGTGTGGTGGACTTGTGAAGAGGTTAAAGCATTTTGGATGGAAGTGTGGTGGATTGTGCAGAATGTTCTTGGAAGGAGGATGAAGTTTACCCCTCAGTTGTTTCTGTTAGGTATAACTACTGATTGTGCTGTTATAGAGACTGGCTTGACTTTGTACCCGATAGCGGCGTCGGGACTGTTGGTGGCGCAGTGGTGGAGGAAGGAGGATTTGCCTGCTATTCAGGAATGGACATTGGAGGTGGCAAGCTTGGCAGAGATGGCTGGAGTGTCGGCATGTCTCGGGGACCACTCAAATGAGAGGTATAGGCTGGAGTGGAGAAGATGGATTGACTGTATCCAAAATGGATACGGGACTAAGAAATTCCAGATAGTTTATGACTGAAGAAGCGAGGAATGATATAATCTGTTTAGAGTTGGCCTAACAAAAGAGGAGTTAAAGCTCAAAGGAAAGATGATACTAACTTTCTTTAAGTTTATTTTAGAACATCTTTGTTAAAGATTTATACCCTGTATTTGTT